GTGTCGGTGACTCATGGCCGGCGGTCGATATAGAGAAGGAGAGATAGACAAACCCGCTTGGAATTGCGATCGTGAACAAGCTGCTCATCGCTGGGTGGGTGATGGAGCAGAGGGGAAGGCACGACCGTGATGACCGACGCAAAATTGGAAACTGCGTTGCTGTGGGATCAAGGTGATGTAAGTAAGGAGCTCCTGGGAGATGCAAAACTCGACCCGAGATGCATTCCTGCCATTTGAGAGCCGAGGGCGAGCTTTGAGAAGGAAAAGTCCTGTCGCTCCTAGGAGAAAAGGGCGGGCGAGGAAGGAGGGGGAGGGAGATGGGCTGTGAGGCTTTCCACATTGTCCGGTGACATACAGTGCTGCCGTGCTCATCGCTAGTCGCACGGGCGTCTCATCTCGCACAAGGACTCTTTCATGGTTTGTCGGTTTAAAATAAAAAGAAAAAAGCTGAACGATGGCGGTTCATCATCCACAGAACACATTGCATGCTGCGAATGAATCCCCATGATGGCTAGCCCCCCGCCAGCAGACCTCATTCGGAACAGCAGACCGCGACAGTTTAAGGTCATGCCGAGGACCAGGCCGCTCCAATCTATGGCGAGCAGCACGACTGCCCTGATCGGATCAGAGTATCTGTGACCAAATCAGTTCACTCCAGTCAGCATTGCTCGTTTGTATCACGACCAGCTGCAGGGGACGGGGGAGGGAGCAAGTCTTCAAATGAATGTGGTATTAACTATTAATCATCACTAGCCCAGTGACGTACTATATGCCAATGTATCATAAGTCGCACAATAAAGTCATGCCAGTTGCTGTTTTCTCTTCGTATTCGGGACTTGTCCAGACACCTGTACCTTAGTCACAGGGGGAGGGAGGAGACAGTATGCTGCTTAGAGTATTACTCCACGAAACCGCAGTGTGCCTACCGTAGCCCTTGAAGTGCTTAGATCCATGGAGAACACCTGACGGGTTTCGTGGTTTGCTGAACTTGAAACTGGGCAGGACCTCGCGGTAGTGAAGATACGTCTTGCTTAGGCAGGGGAGTTGGATGTAGGGGCATCGGTTATGAAAACTGGGTGCTTGTCTGGAATGCTTCAGTGAGATATTGGAATTTTGGCTTGCGGGGAGAATGAGGGTACATAGCAAGAATATACTTCTTGCCCGGCTGAATCTGATCACTTGACCTGTAATCTTTGGACCTGCGTGATGCTGTAATAACCTTGTTATTGTCAGAGGAGGTCAAGTGTGGAAGAAAGGTGTGCGTATTGAGAAGCTATTCTGCAGGGCAGGAGGGTGTCTGGAACTAGGTGAGCTGGAAACGCACATATCAAAACGGTTGGTAAGGTGGATAGTGGTGTTGTTGTATTTGGCTTAGTTTATCGTCAACGTGCCCCCAGGGCTACGTTTTATAGCACCTGCTGACTGACTGCATCAGAGAAGCTCCTTCGGTCAATATCAAGGCACTCCTGGACCTTGATAGGCTTTGACGCGGCTTCCTCGCTGCCCAAAAGCTCGAGCGCGCGGAAATATCCCCCGAAAGACGGCAAGTAGTTCTCACACGATAGCGGGCTTGTGGTTTCTGCGTAAGATGTGGCTTTTATGGAGATGTGCGAGCCCTAAATCTTTGCGTGACATTACCGCTAGCTTATCATGGACCAGTCATGACCACTTTCAATATTGTTTCCCGTCACTAAGCGTTTTGAGAAGACAAGCGACGAAGGTTGTAGTGAAGGCAGCTTGTCACGCAAAGGTACCGAAGAAGTTCATGGGGCTAATTAATTGATTTCATGTCATTAAGAGCGTCAAATCCATAACAGCTATCCAAAAACCCATACAGTACGATGGAAACCCACAAGCCAGTGACAAAATCCTAAACTTCATCCTCTCTCTCTCTCTCAAAAAAAGGCATCTTGCTTCCAACAGGTTTATTTGTTCTTTTCCCGTGAGAGCACCTGTGATGCTGCTGAGCCCGAGGCCGTCAAGCACGCGTTGAGGCCTAGGTACCGAGGAGCCATCGATGATGCCACCGAG